AAATAAAACTGATCATTAGACCTGTTTTCGGTCATTTACATCTACACCAAAAACTCGTACTAATTGGAACTACTTCTGAAATTTGAAACAATCGTGAGTACAAGACTGGTTCTTCATGTAAGGAAACCCAAGAAAATACTCATCTTACTCTGTGTATCCTAATTCTGGAAGAACTTACTGCTTGAATTGACTATTATGCGTATTACCGTTCTCTGTATGGCGAGCAAAGAATACCAAGAATTGTAACATGAAATATTACGCTTGTGAAACAGGAACGAAAATATTGACTATTATACGTGGCTCCTCGCAGTTCTGTTGGTATTACAGACAAGTTCATAACAAAAAAACTTTGTCGTATTCCATATTTGCAGTTTATACCACAACCAAGAATTAACATCCAATAAACATCTTTAATAGGACAGACGTATAAGCAAATACCACAAGCAAAATGGTTAATAATGTTGTCCAGACTTCCACCACTTAGAGGTTCCTTCCTGCATATTATTATTCAGTATCATAGCTGCAATGAATAACAGGCAAGCAATAAAACCTAAGGAATCAGAAAAAATGATAAAAATCTGAAAATATGCTGAGGACTCGATTTCTTTAAACGCAAATCTACGACCAAATAAGGGTTATAATTCGATCACTAATCTGAGGGTCTGAAACTGTCCTAATTAAGCCTTTACATTTGACAATCAGTAAATCTAGCATTTCATAATATAAATCTTTAGAAGTAAGTACGAGCAAACCATATTAATTATAAATGAGGATTGATGATGACATGCAGACAGAGATACTGAAATTCGTACTTTGTCTTACAGCATATCAATACCCAAATTATCAGTACAATACAAATTACAACATCAAGGAATAAAAAAATATCGAAACGAGAAAGTAAATGTTATTTTAATTTCTATCTAAATCTTCGCATCATTTGGCGTTTTAAAGCCCAGAAAGGCAAGCATCATTGAGTCACTTATTTTTATCGCAAACGGCTTTGTGGGGTTAGTTTTAACTCCAATAACCTGAAATTACATTAGAGTATAAACATAAACACGAAAATAAACGTTCTACCCTCAACGTTGACATGAAATATAATTGGAAGTAACAGAATTATAATAAAAGCATACAAAATGTCGCCTTAGAGCATGTGTATCAATATCGCAGATATCGAGATTTGTATTGCAAATATTACAAAACCAAATGTTAGACCGGTTGCTTATATGTTCCTTTCTAAAGTGTTTGAAATACTGCTCGTTCTGAAAAAACTGATCAGAAAATGATATAATGAGGGTTTTCATACGAATTTTTTTAGAAGACATACCAGCTTCTAAACAACTACATGAGGAGATTAGCAAAGCATGTGTCATCAAAGAAAACTGCGACAATACTTTGAAATTAAATGCAGCGGATCAGAGGTTACACTTATTTGCTGTCTTCCTAATTTTTGCGTTAGATAGTGTTCCGGCATTCTTGTCGTACTCCGCCCGGCACGTATTTCTGCTAGTTTCGGTACACTAGTTAGCATTTCCATATCCTTCATAGAGTTTTTTCCAATTTTTTCAACAACCTCGCCTATTTTGCATTCCTTTTCATTATTCCAAACTACTCCATTTCTTGATGCGATTCGACTAACTGGCAGTTCAATTACTCGGTACCTCGGCTGAGTTGAGCATTTGATATATATTAATATCACATGAAGATTAATCCTCTTTTCCGCCTTATTGATTATGGCACTCTGGCTATACTTGTCTCACGCTCAATTTGTTTTGCTGATCTCCACTGCTTTCGTGCTCCTGAAATCCATGACCGTGATCGAATTAAAAGCTTTAGAGCATTTTTAAAGCACTTCCAGACCTCCAGCACCTCCTTTAGATATATGCCTCAACATGATCAGATATACTGATCTCCTTTGCAGTGCGTTTATGGGATTCGCTACGATCCATACCAAATCTCATCACATACTGCAATTCATCTCTGGCCCGAGTTTATTAGCCAGTAGATTATATTTTCGCTTTCTCTCAATCTCGACTGCTATCAACTAGTCATGACTAATGATATCAAGCTTTATCTCGTCGCTTCTTATCATGCATCATAACATCCGGTCGATTTGTGAGTATTTCTATAGCTGTTTTTACTCGTATACCGAATTCGATTTTTACTTTTTCGTTCGCAACGGCCTTGTTAACAAAATGACTTCGCATGCTTGAGAATGTTTATAGACCATAATTTTTTCAGAGTTCTAACTAGATACATAAGGATCTCATTGTGTCTTCTAGTATAGTCGTGATATAACATTTCAGTAATACGTACTTCAGTATTCACAAGCACAAAAGAGAAATGCAAAGAGTAGCAATAAAATAGAACCTTTAATTCATTTGGATGACATAAACCACATTCTCGACACATACCCCAAAGAGAAAAAGCATGAATGAAAGAATGATCAATGTATGGGGAATCAGAACGTGCCGGACTACTCCACCAATTCCGGCTCGTGCCACATACAAAACAACATGACCTGAAACAGCAATGCTTTACAAAGCCAGATATATTCCATTAGTATTAAATCTTCTACAATAAAAATGGCATTGTCTCACTATGGAAATCTGAAATCATACAAATACTCATTAATATTACTACATGCTTTCGAAGGAATACAATTTGCACACACTGAATTCGCATCATAACCGTATTCAAAATTTGAATTCGACTCATATTAATCCACCTCATTCGCAAAAAACTTGCTCAGTGAATGCCATTAAATATTTCTTAGCTTGATATTTTCCAAATAATCATGTAAAAACTATTTATAAGTTGAAATTTTTACGCATTATTTGTAATCTGGTGTTCAGCCTGATGTCGCATGCGTGCTTCAATCGAATGAAACCGTAGTTTGCATCTCAAATCAAAGCATCAATATTTTTGAAACGAAAAATTTTTCCTATTCAAAGGAACAAAAAAAAAAACGATTTCTTGGATTTAAACATTCATA